AAAAAAAAAAAAAGAAAAGAAAAATCAAAAAGCAGGGAGAAAGGGAAAGGCTTATTGCCCAGAGAAAATATTCAGTTACCTAAAACAATTTCTCAAAAACAGCTAATAGTATACCTGAAAAACAACCAACACCTTTTTTTTTTTTCCAAAGAAATCTCTAGCTCTTTCTCAGTCTGGGAAAGTAATTCTGCAGGACATCTAATTGCATTCTATCATTTTCTCCCTGAAAATGCCAAACAAAGTGGAATGAGTACAAACCTCAAACCTCCCCAGCCCCAGTCCATCATTGCTGTGCACCCAGGAAGCTGTGGGCACAAAGAGTACTCGATTTGGGGTTTGAGCTCCCAGAGACACTCTGCACAGGGGAGGAGGCCCCTGCAGGCAGGAAAGCAAGTCCCCTAAGTGGTCTGAGGCAGATGAACTTACAGGTACGGAGGAGCCAATTTTTTCCATATATTCAATTTCATAGGAGTTTCTGTAATCCAACTCTGCAAAAAACCCAAAAACAAACACAAAAACAAAAGATGATGTTAGTGCCAGAGGAAAAAAATGGGAAGATTTGCGCCAGGCAGGGTGGGTGCCACCACAGGGCTCTGGGCTATCGGATGGTGCCCACTGCCTAGAGACTTCTGATATAGCCTGAAGAAAAGGCTCAGCTAGGTTATTTTCACACAATCAGTAAATGTCTTGCTGTAAAGGCGCTTCTGCCATTAGGGAAGCTGAGGAATTCCATGGCACAACCAAACACAGCCCAAGTGTGGCCGGACCTGAGCGCTCTGCGCTGAGTGCTCCTATAAGAGAGCACATGCCTTCTGGGTGCTGGTTTCCTCTGTAACTCTCATGTGCAACACATGGAATGACATATCCTCATGATGTCTTGGAATTGGACCCTTACTTGTCCCTCTCTGGGTATTCAGCTGTGGCCACGCTCTGAAGTGAGGGAAAACCGGTATTGTTCCTTCAGTGCTGCTGGTAAGAGAAGCTTTGCAAGTCACCTGGAGCCTTTCCCAGGGGTCTACCAGTGTCTACAGGGCTGGTCCAAATCCATTTTCAAACTCAAAGACTAGTAAAGTCCAATGGATGGAGAAATGTCCTGTTTCAAATTGTTTGGAGAAAATCCTGTACACTCAATGGAGACAGAAAACACCACTGCCTGCCTCCAGTACCTGGAAACTGAGCTGACACTCAACTAACTCCCTGTCCAGCAAAGAGATGGAGTGCCTCCTATATGCTCTGCACTGTGCAGGGCATAGTGGATACAGTGGTGAATGAGACAGCAGCCACTTCTGTTGCCCTAGACGCCACAATCTAGAGCTTCCAGATGCCCCTTTTCTACTTAAAAAGAAACCCAGAGGTGAAGAGTGATCTGCTCAGAAACCCACTGTAAAAAAGCATCAGTGGCAATCCATAAAGTTTAATCTTTCAACTTTTTTAAAGATTAAAATAAATATAAATAGCAGATCTGGTTTAAAGCACCTTTATTTCTGCCTATTATTAAAAGCATCATCAAAAAAATATGAGCTTTAAAATGACACATTTCCTGGAAGACTTTCTTAAAACCTACAAATGGCTGAATAACCTCAACTACTGAAACACGTGGACAATCTTTCTGGAATCCCTGAATCTCCCTTGGTGAGCTAAACATATCCTTCTAGTCTGCATGGCCAGCTCATGAGATTGAAGACAGTTTTGTGGACCAAAGGCCAGAAAGACCTGTTTCATCCTGAATAGAGATGAGTAAAGAAAGTGTTTCTGACTTTCACACCAATGCTGAACCCCAGGGTCTGCCCCAACTTAAGACACAGAAGCATCAATTTGTAAAGACTTTATCTCCTCCTCACCTTAAAAATGAGAAGCAGGACAGGGCACAGTGGCTCACACCTATAACTCCAGAACTTTGGGAAGCTGAGGCTGGTGGATCATTTGAGGTCAGGAGTTCGAGACCAGCCTGGCCAACATGGTGAAATCCCGTCTCTACTAAAAACACAAATATTAGCCAGGTACACACCTGTTGTCCCAGCTACTTGGGAGGCTGAGGCAGAAGAATCACCAGAACCCAGGAGGTGGAGGTTGCAGTGAGCTGAGATCGCACCACTGCACGTCAGCCGGGGCAACAGAGCAAGACTCTGTCCAAAAAAAAAAAAAAGAGGGGGAAAGAGGAGAAAAACAGGGATGGATGAGGTGATGTTTAGAGTCTCCTCCTGATCTATCACTTCCCAGGTAGAGAACCCCAGGATTATCATTTTACTATTCTATTATAAACTGTTTAAGTTGAGAAAATAATAGTGAATCAGCTGCCTCTTCAAGGTATCGTTACAATTGCCAAGGTATTATATGCTCCAAATTATTTAGCAGAAATCTCTCAGCACACTCCAATATAGCACAGGGCACCCAGGAGGCATGAATGAGCAACAGACTGCTACAGAGATTTCTCAGGGACTGTAGCCCTAGGTGAGTACCCAGCTCTGGTTACCAGCTTGCCTCTGTGAAGCGTCCCACTTGGAACCTCAGCTCTTCTGGTGACTGAATCTGGGTGAGTTTTAGGTCATGAACCTCACTCATCTGCTTCTCTGCTACCTGCCAAAAGGAAATCCCTTCCCACTGTCCTGTGTCCCTCACTCCACCCATTAAAAGGAGCAACTGACAGTGCAAAAGTGGGATTCTCTGACACCCAGAGAAGTGTTTGCATTTGTAAGATGCCTGGTGCCAAGAGGCCCACAGCCCTCCCCGTCAATCCCAGGTGAGTGGCAGCGCCTGGGGATTCTCCTTCAGAACACGCCCTGCTTGTTGCAATCACAGTCATTTGGGGTCCTGATTTATAATTTCCAAAATGGCCTGGACAAGGTGTAAGAAAAATAAGTACCTCCTCCTGACATCTTGGGTGATCTCTGATATATTTTGAAGAAACATCTTTCTGAAGTTGGTTTTCAAGATCTCACTCATCTGCTTCAAATCCTAAGCCTCAAAGGGCAGACCCGGAGGTGAAGCCACATCCATTTTCAGCCCCATTTTCACATCATGCCACACACAGCTGGCAGGCCAGGAAGGGTGACACCAACATACCAAGTGGCACATCATATTCTCAACTGCAGGAGATGGCCCTTGCTAACATGTGTGGCCGCTCCTATCGGAAGAGCCTCAGCTATTGTTCATGGGTCCTGTCATTCCTGAGGGCTGCTTTTGGTAATCACTTCATACAAGGGCACTGCACAGTGAGAGGGCTGGAGTGTTTCTTTCATCTGACTCTAATTGTTGGGCTCTTGCTGGGAACGGGTAAGAGCCCCATGCAGAAGCCAGAAGGAGGCTGCTGAGTCCTGGTCTCCGTTCCCAGGATCAGGGAAGCCAACTCCCCTGATGTCTCCTTGCCTGTTGACTTATCTACCAAGTGGAGCTCAAAGTGCCTAGTTTTGTAGGCTGAAATAAAATGCTGTAAGATAAAAACCCTTCAGTGGATTCAGTGGGTGACACACATGGAAAGGAGTGTGATCACATCTATTCCTGCTCATGGCTAATATTTCTGGAACTTTTAACCTAAGTAACATTATGTTATGGAAGAAGAAAAGAACCCAGGGAAAGAGGCAGGGAGGCTGCCTCCAGCTTCTCCACTGTCAGCCTTCTAACGGTGACATTTAGAAATTTCTTATCAAGCTCAAGAGATGCCACTCACCATAGGTGCTATCAAAATGGCAAGCCTGAATTCCTGAGCTCTGCAGTGCCACAGTGGCGGTGCCTGACCTCATAGAATAGCTGGGGCTTCCAAGGAGGGCACGTTCCCCGCTGTGAGAGGCGGGAAGGAGGGACTAACAGAGCTGTGTTAAAGGACACAGGGAGACTGGATGGCCACCGAAGAGTCTCTGAGACTTGTGAGTGAGGTACATGTTAGGTCTAAAAGTACTGTTAGGATTTTTAGATTTTTCTAAGAAAAAATGCTTTAGTTCCTGACCATAAAACTAAAGACATACATGCATCAAAATCATATGCCTAGTTCAGGCTGGCTTCTTCTTTTCTTTCTTTTTTTTTTTTTTTT